TAGCACAAAATAAGGCAGCACGATGTGCACTGCAGTGCTCCTACAGAACCAGAGTTACTGAAATGCTGGAGACACTGAAATGGTTAACTGTCAGACAGAGGTCAAGTTATATTTTATTACATTTTGTCAGAAATATTACAGTGACTCACTCACCATATATATTATCACAAAGGTTTATAGCGCAATATGCACAACATAACTATCAAACACGATATACAATAGAAGGAAGGTTTGTATTACCCAAATCTAAATAAAATATGGGACAGAAAACAGTCATGTAAAGAACCATGATCAGCTGGAACTCTTTACCGGTTCACATCATTCAGGAAAATTCTCAAGTACATTTCAAAAGGTTGCTAAAAAAATATTTAAGTATTATAAAGTAAATTTGAACTGTGCCTGTGGCTATGTTTGCATATATTATTATGTACACTTATTTGTATTTACTTTTGTTTGGCCTTAGGATGGCGATAATTGGATGACCATTTTAGTTTTCACTTAATTTCACTGTAAATTGCATGCAATTATGAGCTGTTTTTATTTTGTTGTATGTATGTATTTTTATGTATGTTTTGAGTGTGTGAGGACCCCAGGAAGAATAGCCAATGCTCATGCTAGTGCTAATTGGGAATAAAGACATAAGACATACTTAGGTCACTGATTACTTTTTTTTAAAAGTAACCCTCCCAAACCTGGTTGTCCTTATCATTAGTGACCATGTCTCTTCTGCTTTAATCGTTCCCATTAGCTGGAGGAGCAGCCACTGTGTTGGCGACTCCTGCTATTCTAGCTGCCTTAGGTTTTACTGCAGGTGGAATAGCAGCCGGCTCCATTGCTGCCAAACTAATGTCGATGGCTGCAGTTGCTAATGGAGGAGGCGTTGCAGCAGGAAGTCTGGTGGCAATCTTGCAGTCAATTGGTAAACTGAACAATTTATATATATTTTTTCTCTTAATAAACATCTATCTCCAGCCAGTAAAAATAGTAAATATCTGATTTTAAAAGGTAACTGAAAGGCTTGTATATATTTATGTTCAAATGCCAAAGATAGTGAATGCTCTTGTTAGAAATTCCCTGTATAAAAAAAGTACTTTCAATTAACAAACTAGAACTTGTGTTGTTCTACAACCGACAGAGGAAGCATTAGGAGCATATTCAAATGTCAGTCCCGGATGACAATTTGCATCTAAATAGAGAAAATAAGTCATTTTAGACTGCGGAATAAAAGCTTTCCTTTTGGAAAGGCCAGAGCTGTTATGAATCTCAATTATAATGTACTCTCACTGCTGGTATGTCAGGGGCTACAATTGGAGCTGTGACTGGAACTGCGACTGTAGTTGCGACAGCGACTGGAGCTGCGGCTGGAGTAGCTGTGGCTGGAGCTGGAGAAACTGTTGCATGGATGCTGTCAACCATTTGTCACCAGATCTAATAAAGATTTAGAGCATGGATATGAGACGCATTTAATCTTCACCTAATGGAGACAAATACTCATTTTGTGTATCTGTACTGTGATGAATGTCAAATACCAACATTAAACTGTGTATTCCATGGCTTAAATATTTGAGCATCAATCCAGAAGCAATTATATTGTTATGATGAAATTAAAAGTAACATATCCAATTTTCATCTTGTAATCTATTATTTGTATAAGCCAAAAGTGTGTTTTATAATGTGGAAGATGATGCCTGCATAGTGTCATTTGCAGGATGTGAATTAGCTCTTATAAATCTTTGTTTTTACACTATAACTGAATCGGAAGGCATTAACATGATGCTTCTGTGCTCTGTGAGTACTTTTATCTTATTATGCGGGCAATTCTAAACCCAAATAAAATGCATGAAAAGTAAAGCAAATATTTTTCTTTTTTTTTACCATTTCATTGACACAATTTCAATTATTATACTCGAGTTTATGTAAAAGACTAAGATTTAACGTGGTGCTTTGAGCTGGACAACAGCATACTAACAATTAAAATGCTGTGTTCTGATATTTGGCAGATATATTATTTATTTGCCTTTTTTCCCCTTGCAGCATGCTAACATTAGCTAATTAGCATTAAGTATAGCTCTGGCTGTTCGGACTGTCATGTAGCAGATTTCATCGCCTTTCATACAATAGAAATCGTAGTAATAGTAAAACATTTAACTGAAAACAAAACTGTCAACTTCATGTTGGCCCTTGGCACAGGATCCCTGTTGGGCCCTCTGGCCGCACGATAGGGAAAACAAAAAATCAAACTCAGAAAAAGAGAATGTCACCCTTAAGTAAACTTCCTTCAAAGCAGGGAATGGCAACAAGAAGAGACAATGAACTCTGATATATGGGGCGAAGCCTGCGAGCTAGTTCAGGCAGACAACTCGAGCACCAATGATACATTAACACGTGACGCACCTCGTCCCTCTTACAACCAACTAAACACATTCTCCTAAACCTGCCGCTCCATTTAAGCTGCCATATCTGCTGCCTCTGCCTCTGCCTCGCTAATGCTGCTACTGCTGCGTTCACATTACTGCTGGTCGCCGGCCCCCCAACCACCCCAGCATCCACCTGTAGGCTCGGGGGATAGTTATCTAATCATCACAACTCAATGTTCTATGTAAATCTTTGGAGCGATGAGGCCAGAGCCTAGACGCTAAACTCAAACGATATACTGCTTCTAATGAACATATCAAGACACACGTAAGTTGTCTGATTGAATTAACATTTCTGAGATATTAAGCCATCACTTAATACGTTGCTTAACCAGTTTACTTCTGACTTCTCCTTCAAAAGAAACATAGATCTACTGCACGCTAACAGCAATTATTTTTAACTCCAGTTGAAAAGCCTGCTAACCAAAGCTGCACTATAATATCATTATACAACAATGGATCAAATTATTGTGTACAACTAAAGGTGTCTCTCATAGTTATGGAAACACTGCTGATAATCTCCAGACTTTTATGTGCCCTCACAGTAAACTAGTGAGTACACCCCATGGTATACCCTTTCAGTTGACCAATTGTTTATCATCGGTTTACAGCTGCAGTTTCCATAAGTATCAGAGTTATTGACAGCAGAGAAGACACACATTGCACATATTACATTTTAAGACAAACTTTGGAGTTAAATTATGTTTCCCTTCCTTGTAAGCCTGCACACACTTGTGGTCAGGACTCAAGCTTATTTCACAGTGGTCATGATCTGGACTCTCATCTTTATAAAAGTAAAGCCCTGGTAACGAAAGGAGGGTTACTATCACGTTTACTAGCAAGTGCTGCATTTAAAGCCTGATTGAAAAGAAAAGAAAGGTAACTTAAGAAACAAAATTTACAATTTAAAAACTGCCGATTTAAAAACATTTCTGATCTCCTGCTAAATGATGAACTATCCAGAACTCTCAGGTCTTCTGGGACAGGTCTGCTTTCTGTCCCCAGAGTAGGAACTAAACATGGTAAAGCAGCGTTCAGTTGTTATGCTCCAAACATCTGGAACAAACTACCAGAAACCTGCAGGTCCGCTGCAACTCGAACTACTTTTAAATCCAGGCAGAAGACTTTCCTTTGTGTTGCTGCTTTTAATTGAACTATTAATATCTTACACTGCACTGTAACTTGTATTCATGTATTTTATACCTGTGTTATTTTATATTAGCTTGTTTTATGTTTATTTGATCATCTTTGCTTTTTATTGATGTTTTTAAAATGCCATTTTATAATGTGTTTCTGCTGCACTATTTCTTAATGCTCTGAATGTCTTTCATTTTTGTAAAGCACTTTGAATTGACTTGTGTTGAAAGGTGCAGTATAAATAAACTTGCCTTGCCTTGATTTGTTTAAAATAGAAAGTTGTGGCCTATACTTGTCCAGTGTATGAATACATTGCTGGATTGCTTTGAAGTTATTGGATCACATGATTGAAGCTATTGAAACTCATTAGACTTTTCAAAAAAGAAGACTATAATCCAATGAAAAGAGGTGCGCTCTACATGTCCAGTGTGGTTTACATTGCAATGAGTTTGAGTCATTGGGTCGCAGGTTATAAATACAAAAATGCAGGTTTTTTTTCATTCAGATAATTATTTGATATAAATATACATCTTTCTTATGAGACATATTTATCCAGTTTATTATTAAGATACAACCGTTAAAACAACAAGATTATAACCAGATTAGAAGTGGACTGGGGTCTATGTGAGTTTTAAGTTTTGTTTCTTAAGAAATTAAAGTTTCCTCCTTGGAGCTAAAGAGTGCTCACAGATTCCTTGTCTCTATGTAACCAACGTCAACTCAGAAGACAAAAGACACAACACTAAAGAGATGCTTAACCAGTTTAGGTCTGCCTGCTTTGAGGACAAAATGTCACCATTTATTTTCCTGTGCACAAATAGTTCATTAAAATGAAAATTAAGAGATAATTAAATGATAGTCTGAATTCATACAAAATTACCAAACTGAATATTTTAACAACTAATGGACGGTCTTAGTGAGCTGGGTGATTGTGATATCATTTGACCTGCCCTTTTTTTCATGTCCTGAAGTGATTCGACCCTTGGGCTTGGAGAGCATTGTTGAGGACTGTTGACAATGTGCTGCTGTTGTATGTTTGTATGCTTCTAAATAAGTGTCTAGGCTGCCTTACCAACTGTAACAGATGGATACTTGAATTAAAATGTCTTAAAAAAAACTATAGGATGATCCCGTGATTCCTGTTTTTTATTTTTAGGGAGAGGTCTTATTGTGGACGTGGTCTGATTTAATATTTATTTTAAGTGTGTTGCTTATTTTAATGGGCAGGTTTTGTTATGAGATACCTATAGGAGACTTGGGTGGAACACCTACCTGACTTATCCTGTATTTTGTTGGTGTATAATGAGAAAAGCCAATTTGATAAAACTCTGAGTGGCATATACATATGAAACCACAGGTTAATGTCCCAACTATTCAGCTCCCCTCATTGATCATATCAATGACTGGATGTGTCAGAACATTCTTTAATCAGAAAAAGACAAAACTGAGGTAATTGTTTTTGTAGACAAGTCAGAGCTGAGCTTCATTAGGCAATGTTCAAAATAACAGAAGAAGCCAGACATCTAGGTGTAGTCATGGACTCTGACTTGCATTTAAATAGTTACATTAAAACTATTACTAAGTCAGCCTACAATCACTTCAAGAATATATGGATTAAAAGACTAATGTCACAGCAGGATTTTTTGAAAATGTGTCCATGCTTTTATCTTCAGTAGAGTCGACTACTGTAATGGTGTCTTTACAGGCCTCACTAAAAAATCTATTAAAAAGCTGCAGCTAATTCAGAACGCTGCTGCTCGAGTCCTCACTGACACTAAAGAAAAAATGGATTACATCACTCCTGTTCTGAAGTCTTTACACTATAAAGACCTCCTGTCTGTCAAATAATCAATTAAAATATATGCTGCTGGTTTATAAAGCATTGAATGGTTTAGGGCCAAAATTAATTTCTGATCTGCTGTTAAATTATGAACAATCCAGAACTCTCAGGTCTTCTGGGACTGGTCAGCTTTCTGTCCCCAGAGTCAGGAGAAGCAGCATTCAGTTATTATGTCATTTTAAAATGTGTTTCTATTTTAATGTCTTTAATTCTTAGTAAAGCACTTTGAATTGCCTTGTGTTGAAAGGTGCGATATAAATAAACTTGCATTGCCTCATATTCAGCTAAGTAACATCTTACAGCTTGGTTTTACAGCCCGACTTAACTGTGGCAAGAAAAAATAATGCTAATTAATTAAAAAAAGGTTAATAAACCAGTGAACTATTTTAGTCCTTTCTCTTGGACATAACAAAGAATGGAAAGATGCACAGGCGACACACTGAACAAGTATGCTTAATAGAAGACCGATTTATTAAACAAAACATTTTGTATGAGATGACCAAAGTGCTGTTTAGCCAGTGAAAATGCTGTCAATTCTACTTTCCTCCTTCATTTGGCAAAGTACACATATTCATCCTGTTCCTCCATGATTTCTCAGATGAGGATTGCAGTTATCAATCCAACGGTTGCTCCGACGCTAGCCGCACCTGCAGAGGCAACTGCTGGCAGACCGACTACACCTACAGCAAGGATCAAAGGTTTAATATCAACTATGCAGACACTGAGAACTGATATTACCATATTATCATTAGTTTAACCAAAAGATTAAAATGCAAAACATAAAAGTGATGATCTTTACCTGCTGCCTGCAAAACAGCCACTGTACTTCCGGTTGCCACTGCTCCCGCGTTAGCCACTGCAGCAGCTGACATCATGCCGGCAGCATAGGAGCCTGCTGCGATCCCGACGGAGGTGAACCCTACGGCGGCCAGAACAGCAGGAGCAGCGACGACAGCTCCAGCTGCAGAGGAAACGTTGTTAATGCCAATTTTTTTGGCCGCTCCAAAATGAATAGTGAGTCAGAAATAGTAAACATTCCTAAATTGGGCTCAATAAAGACTATCTAATCTAAAGTGTGTTTACAATCAGATGTAAAAGTCTTACCTGCTCCACCGACAACTAAAGCTGCAGTTACTGAAACACAAGATGAATATCGAAATCAACATTAACATCCGGCTTAATCAATACCTTTGCTAAAGTAACTATCATTATTGTTGTTTGTAATTAAAAATGGAATGTACGAAGTAAAAACTCGATGAAATGTAAAGTGATACTCACACAGCCCCATGACTTGATATTGTGTGTCGTGTATAAGTAAGAACTGATGAGCCTTGAGCTGCAGCGGGTTTATATAGCCTGCCTAGCTTTCATTTCCTGAAAAATAAAACTCTGCTGTATAACCAGACCCGGCGCCGTGGGAGGGCCAGGCCC